ACCGAGTAAATGTTTTGTATAGACGTCTCCTGTTTGATAATGGGACTTTGTTTAGGAAGCAGAATTCGTATGAAGACTCACACTTAGTGGCCAGAGGGTGGGGGCTGGGGAGAAAAAAGAGGGAGTTTTCTTCCTGGCTTGGTATAAACTTGGAATGCGCTGGTGCTGTTTCTTGAAGAGCTGTGTGTGCTCTTGTCTGAGCAGGTATTTGTAGGAGATTCAGGGCTGAGGTGTCACAGGAATGGTTAGGAACAAGCTTCTCCTTACTCTGGGGGAACAAATGTGCACAGGACTTGGCATGTACTTGGCCCAGGCCAAGTTGGACAGAATTCAAGTTCTATAAGCTGAGAGGGTGCCCAGAAGGTGCCAGGGTATGGATTCTACTTAAGTCTTGTTATAGGGTCCAGAGGGCAAGACCTCCCCTATTGCTGTGAGGAGTTTCTCTGATATGGATATTCCACAACAGCAAGCATACCGGGAAGATGTCACTCCCAGTCAGGACAGGAAGGCCTGTCTGATAGTAAAACATTTCCTTCTTAAAATATGGTGTCAGGTTCTAGGCTTTGGGGTGCAGCAGCGCTTGGAACACCTTCATGTGGAGAGGGAAGTTGGCCGCAGCCTCCTGAAGACAGGTTGGCAGCTAGGCAGAGGATAGCCCTGCTAAGAGACCCTGGAAGCCGCTTCAGGGAGCAGCTAGATGTCACCATCTGTTTTTTGTTATTCCTATACCTTCAGCAAGACTTTATTCCAAGTAACAGTCTGGTTTCAGCCACACTATGGGGAATTAAACTCTTAGGACGGAGGAGGAAAGTAAGGGAGCTCCTTAGGTCAAAACAGGTGGGAGCAGCTGCAGGAGACACCAGGGACACAGCTGTGCCTAGTGAAGTGCTCTGGCTGGGGTGGAGGTGTCAGAAAGGCTGGAGTGAAAGAGCCAGGACCTCTTCCTGAGCCTGGCTAAGAGCATCCAGGAAGGATGCTCAGAGCACCTCTGGGAGGCACTGTGAGTGCTGTTTGGTTCCTGTGCTGGTCATAGGGGCTGTAGTCAGCATAACTTGGGCATTAAGGAAAATGTGACCTGAATTTAAACTTGCTGGCTGGTGAGACCCAAATCAGGATTATTGTAGAGCTATAATTCTTAGGTGTGTTCATATTTCCTCTGCAATTCCTCTGGTGGTTTGACATCAATACAGTGCACAAACCTAAATGTTACCAGGTCCCACACAGATATTCCTGGGCATGGCAGGAGTATGTTCTTCAGGATGTAAATCATATGTAGGAGTCTATCTGTTATGCCCACCATCTGTCTCTGAAAAGGTTATACCAACTGTGTGGTTTTCCTCTTATTTTTCCCCTGTTTTAAAGCTAAATTTGAGACATGTCTTTCATCCCTGTATAATTCCATATACATTTTAAAAAGTGACATTTTCTAATACAACTATGTGCCATTATCACCTTTAAAAAATTATCAACAAATTTCTCTAATTACTATGACTTAACCTCACATAAAAAAGAATTCTTCCTTTTATTTAAAAAAAATAGCTAGAAAGTTTTTTTGTCTTTCTTTTTTTTTTTAGACAGAGTCTATGTCTCCCTCCGTAGAGTGCCATGGCATCACAGCTCACAGCAACCTCAAACTCCAGGGCTTAAGCAATTTTCTTGCCTCAGCTTCCCAAGCAGCTGGGACTACAGGCACCTGCCACAATGCCCAGCCATTTTGTTGTTGTTGTTGTTGCAGTTGTCATTGTTCTTTAGCAGGCCTGGGTCATGTTCAAACCAGCCAGCTTTGGAGTATATGGCCAGCACCCTACCCACTGAGCTACAGAAAGTATTTTTATGTCACTAGAGGCTTGGATGGCAGATGTTTTTTCTATCTGTTAATTTGGCAGGAGAGTTTCCTTTAGGCAGGAGCACAGATTATTAATCTTGGGTCTCAATTTAGCTGTTTTTCTTTTTTTTTTTTTTTGCCTCTAAATTATGTATTCTTAGGGGACTCATTCAACGCCCCCCAGCTTCCCACATCCTCCTTTGGCCTAGTAAATGCATAAGTTAAGCTATTGGCCTGCTGGACTTATGAAGACTTTTGCAATGTGAGACAACCCTTCTTGTGTATTTTCTTTGACCACCTTCTGGGTGGGGAGGCTGAAGACCACTGCAGGGCTTGTGGAGAGGAGCCACATACCAGGGGAAAGTTGGCACTGAGCTAGTGGGAGCAGCGAGCAGAGATGGGAGACGGGGAGCAGAGAAACTACCAGAGGCAAAGTTGGAAAATCACAGAACAGAGTCTACTGCCATCTCTTTCACAAAATAACACAAATGTAAACACATAAAACAAAAATAACATATAAATGTAAAGATTTAATCACCACCCAGACTGAATCACTATTAACTTTTTTGTTTTGATACCAACTATTAAAAATGGATATATAAACAAATGGATTTAAACAAAACTTGGATTGTACATAATATCTTGATATATATTTTATTTTCCCACTTTACACTGTATTAGGACTATTTCCATGTTATTAAATATGTTTCCAAAACAATATTTTTTATAGTTGCATAGTATTCTAATTTATGGGTATACCATCATTCAGACCACTTATATTTTATTACCATTATTAAAAATGATACCATTAATATCCTTGTACCTAAATGTTAGAACATACCTCTCATTCTATCTTTATGATAAATTCTGAGAAGTAGCATTAGTAGGTGGAAGGATCAGAACATGTTCCAATTGTCCTCCAGAAAACTAGTTCCAAATTTATATGGTAACTGAAAATGTATAAATGAACTCATTTCCCCACAACAGTGCCAATATTAGTATTGCTATTTTTTCCCTTTAATCTGACAATTTAAAGCATGTATATGGCATCATTCCCTGCCCCCCCCCCCACCTCACTTGGTTCATGTCTCTTGAATCTCTGTATCCTTGACTATTTCACTGCTCTACATTAAAAGAAAGGGTGGTGATTTTGCTTGCTCTCTCCAGCTCTTGACTAGCTGCTGGAAGTTGTGCTATAGCTTAGAAAGCAGCTGGGCTAGGTCAGTGGAATGTTCTGAGTTGCAAATTACTTTCCTAGATTATTTGTGAGGCTGAGACAGCACATGAAACACCCAGACCACAAAAATATCACTAGTTGTTAACAGCCAAGAATGGCACATGTTTTCAAACATCCAATGTAGAATTAGTAAATTCACATATGTATTTTTACCTTTTCTTTTAAAACCTGGTTTACTACATGAGCTTTAGATTTGCTGCCTAATTTGAACCAATATTCTATACTTTTCTCCATAGACACAATAATTAAATAGTATTATTTTTCAGGTGGTTTATGCACCTTGTGTAGCTGCATGCAAAATATTGTATATATGTAAAATTATGAATATTTGTCTTGGGATGGAGTCCAGAGATTTAATGTTCTCAAAGGAGCCCATGAAAAGATTAAGAATCTTTGGTATGGAGAAAATTCTAAGGGGTTATAATTGAAATGTCTGCAAGGGCCATGCAGATAATATAAAAGAGTGAGGTAGATAAAGCATTAGGCAATAGGGAGAGGTGGGGACTGGGCCATCCTCAAATGCTTTAGCTCCAACTAAATGGAGTAACTGTGTCTTGGCTCCAGACCACTGCTGGTATAGGGAAACATGGGTCTAGTAATGTCAGATCTTAATTCTTTTTAGGGAGAGCCAGAAATCTGGAGATTATATACAATTTTCTAATTTTTAAATGCTTATGACAATTTAAAGCTAAACAAACATTATATAGTACAACCAACTGGTTTGCTGCTTTGTTTGTAAAGCTATTGGGCTTAAAAACAGACATTTGCAAATGTGATTAAATACAGAGTAAAATAAATTAAATACCTTCTTTAGACTTCTTATAAGCTAGCACACCAAGAACACTTAAGAACAAAGCTACTGAGGGACTCAGTTTGACCAACCTTTGGCATTCGGGAGGTTCACTGGCCAATGTGACAGCTCTTCAAGCAATGCAGTTGCTGGAGGCAGCAGATCTTGACACCCACCCCTCCTTTCCCTAGCTCATGCCCCATACTCTACAAAGATTAGTACCAGGTCTTTCAGTGCCAGTGGAGAAAAATGTCCTAGAAGAAGGTATGTGAAGACCCCTAACTGCACGTTTACATACAACCTGGATTTCAAACTGACAACACTAGTGATTGTTATGCCACATTTTTCCAACTGCCAGAATCAAGATAAATATAAGAAACTATGAAAAACGCAGAGAGAAACTTGTACTCAGATGAATGATGCTTTTGTAAACAAGCTTAATCTCTATCTCTAGCTTGCTTTTCATAAGAACCTGTAATATCACAGTCAATAAGGAAAATATTGTTTTCAAATTTAACTGTATTGCACGTTCAGATTTAAAAATACCAGGCTTTTAAGATACAGCACAACCTGTATTAAAACCTTTCTGCCAGAACTTGGCCGCTGGGCCCCATGGCAGCCGCCAGCCTTCCAGGGCAGATATGTAGCATGTCCTGAGGTCTATGGGGCAGCAGAGGGGGGTAAGGAGTGGAGGGGAGAAGGACCCTGCAGAGAGGTTAGGGGTGGGACAGCTGGGGTGGGACAGCTGCAGTGGGAAACAAGTGAGTGCCTACAGAGAACTGAGAAAAACTGACAACCACATTTTTCTTGAGGATGCTAGCTGATGCTGCTGTGACCAAATAAATGTGCTTTTTATTCTTTCTGTGCCCTAGATAGCATTCTATGTGTATGTCTGAAAATGCTATCTTCCTCCCAAGTCATCATATACTTGGTTGAATGAAGATTTGAGCTATGCCAGGCAGTCCTGTAGGCACAACACAACACAGCTAAGCTACTTTGAGAATAATGAAAGCTCCCCACCCAAGTTGAGGAGTGGGGTGGGGGAGAGGGAGGTATCTAGTGTATTCTGACTTTTCTCATAATTACAAAAGAACAACGTAGGTAAAGGCTTTTAAGTAATCATGGAGAACACCCATTTTGCAAGGTACCTGTAATCATGCTGGATATAATTAATGGCAAAATGATGAGTTTCAGCATCCTCATTAGAATTTCTCCAGGAAAAGCAAAGTAGAATTTCTCCAAATTTGAGAGCTTGCTGTGTTCTCGAACCAAGACTCCGATGATAATGCCTAAGAAAACCAAGAGTTGGAAAGACGAAAAGAAGAACATTGTTGAGTTTTCCTGTACACATTTTGATGGAACAATACCAGAAAAATGCAAGGAAAATGGTAATCTCCCATGAGTCTATAAAATTTTGACTTTAAAAAAGCTGTATTTTAAAAGAGAGGGAGCAGAAAGTCCACATTATTCAGTAAATTTGTCAGAAGTACTCTCAACATGAAAGCGTTGTTGTCCCTTCTTCCCCATCAAGTATATTATATAACAACTAACAACAAAGAACGCTGTGAAAAAAGAAACAGCTTACATAGACATTTGCAAATAACTAACAACATTAGTTAACCCAATGTAACTATTTTGTTTTCACGCATTACCTTTATTTTTTTGTCAACTTGCAGAAATATTTATTTTATAGTTTACATATCGCTTTTAATTGTTCTCATATTTTTATATTAAGTGCTCCTGTTATGGTAGATGTTTATGATAAATACTTTTCCCTCTTTTATAATTTTGTAATTTTACAACACTGCTCTTTAATGCTTTGCATTCCTTTCGGTGATTTTTAGATAACGACCCATTCAGGTTTATCTGATCAAGAGATTTTTTTACGAAGCTTCTGATCCCGTGTACCTTGTACTAGCAGGTTTATAATTACATGAGTGTAGGGACACATTTACTTTTAAGAAATGCTGTCCCTGCTCCCAATGCTTTCCCTTCACAAGATATCTACATGAAATCCTTCAGCTGTGTGACCTTTTGATAACTGAAAATAACACATTTTTACTATCTCTTCTTTAATCTAATGGCCTTACTCACCCTTCCCCTCAATACACACACCTCTTTTTAAAACCAAGAAATAAATAAGTTGGAATGCCTTCCACATCTTCTTCCTTTCATCATCCCCTGATGGGTGACCTGCTAATTGGAAATGAAATGACTAAAGGATGGGAAGATTCAAGGAGAATATCACCAGATACGCAAATTCACAGGCTAAAATAACGTGTTTGTGAAAACCCAGAGTTGTTTGGGCACAGTTAAAAACTCTAGGGCGTGGCTCCGTGCCTGTGGCTCAAGCGGCTAAGGCGCCAGCCACATACCTGAGCTGGAGAGTTCAAATCCAGCCTGGGCCGCCAAACAACAATGATGGCTGCAACCAAAAAATAGCCAGGGTTGTGGTGGGCACCTGTAGTCCCAGCTACTTAGGAGGCAGAGGCAGGAGAATCGCTTAAGCCCAGGAGTTGGAGGTTGCTGTGAGCTGTGATGTCACAGCATGCTACCCAGGGTGACAGCTTGAGGCTCTATCTCAAAAAACAAACAAAAAAAACCCCCCAAAACCCCTCAACTTTAGGGCAATGAAAAGAGATATGAATTATGATCAATAGTAAGAATTTTCATTTAAATTCACATATCTTTCCCATGCCCTCTAGTAGACCAAACAGATGAACCTCCCAAGATACATCTTCCATAATAACCTTATCCTTAGCTTAATTTTATTTTCCGACATATTCCACTTTTGCCTTGATCTCTTTATTTTGTGCTACACTGCTAAATGCATTTCAGTATACACTACTGAATCGCCAATGCACAATCTTAAATCATTTTTGGAACAAACCTATACACATAAACATTTTCCAAAATGTACCTAAGACAAAGAAAAAACGTCTCTATTATGTCCTGTTTGGTTCATATTTTAAAAACTAGTGTTAGAGACTCCTGCAAGGTTAAGAACATCAAGATTCAAAATATTTTAAGTAAATTCTGAAAGCTCGATGCACTTACTTCTTGCTGCATAGACTGCCTGTGTTCAGCTGTTCTATATGAACACACCTATATTATGCCGTGAGGATACTCTGTAATGCTCAAGGATTTAAAAAACAAACATTTTCTCTCATACTATTTAGATTGCTTTAAGAAATTTTTGTCTCCTATGTCAAAGAAAGCTCAGTATGTAAAAATAAAGATGTGTCTGTGCTCAAAAACCAGCCATAAAAGCACTCTGTTGAGTAGCAAAAGAACCCCATGTGCCCCGATCTTAGGGTTTATATTACTAATGATTAACTGTGCCTTTAATCATCTCCACCCCCAAATGAATGCAGGGCAGTTAGAAATGTACTTGCTATTTTTCAGCCTTTGGCCAGATCTGGGTTTTTATGAGAGTTGTCAGGTGGGGTAGTTTGAGAGAACTAAAGGTGGCATGCACAATGAATAGGTTACTGTATTTGGCAATTAACACTCTCTATTAAGGCTGTTCTCACAACTGAGTACCAGAAATTGCTCTCTAGTATTTCTCTCTTTCTCTCTCTTTTCTTTTTTTCCTAAAAAGAAGAATAGAAATGCCAACCTAGTGCTGGAAAAGCAGTTGGGGGATTCAGAAATGTTATCCTGAGACCCTCAAGAACAAGAAGTGGCTGGTGAATGACCTCACCTAGGAGTTACACCTTATAAATGGGGGAACTTTATCTTGGTCTCAAACAAGTACAGAAATAGCAGATTCAGGACAAGGAAAATCACTGGAAGAAATTTCAGGTCCCCAGATGAGGTCAGATCTCACAGGGCACAACCCATTCTTACCCATTAACAGAGTCAGAACTTTGGACTGGATTAAGGACTGTGGAGAGGTTCCCAGAGTTCAAGGCTTCTGGGAAGACCTGTCCTCCTGAGGATGTGCAGGCCCAGCCCACCTGGTAGAGCCACTCCCAGAACTAGGGAAGGTGAAGGTCAAGAACCTCCCCGAATGGTATAATTCTAAATAGGACTTCTGCAGGGCCAACAAGGAGTTTTCAAAGGTAGTCACCTGGACCCCCGCAGCCCCCCAGCAGTGGACCTAGGACACTATTCTTGGGCCTCCTCCTTCTCCTGCCAAGCAAGTTAATCCCAAACAGGGTAGGGGTAGCTGGGGAAGAACACTGGGGTTAGACGAGCAGGCTCATCTTGAGGTTCCATCACTTGCGAGCTGTGTAACCTGGGCCATGACTTCAACCTCTCCTACTGGCAAGTGGTGGGGAAAGGGCTCGGTTAGTTGTTGTAGGTTAGTTGGTCTTTTTTAATGCCCCAGAGGCTATGATCACCTCTGAGCCTCTGTTTCCTCCACTTTAAAATGAGATCACATGATCTCAGTTCCAAAGAAAGTGTACAAATCTTCTCCAGCTTTTATGCCAAACCTAAGTATGTTGGTAAAATAGGCAAGAAAAGAAACACAGGTGGAGAACAACCAAGACCTCAGCTAGGAATTCTTCAAATTCAAGTTCAAAGATGCAATTTTAAAATAGAAGATGAATAAAATGTCATCTCTTCATGCTCTGGTTGTTTTAAAAACCTGACGGTCCAGCAGCCTTGTCTCAGAGGTTCTGAGGTGACTCATTCTTTTTTTTTTTTTTTTTAATTAAATCATAGCTGTGTACATTAATGCAATCATAGGGTACAGTGTGGTGTTTTCATATACAATTTGAAATATTCTCATCAAACTGGTTAAGTGACTCATTCTTTATTTCTAAGTTGATTAAAAAAATATTGTTCAGGAAGAAGCAATACTGGAAATCAGAAAGGAACAAAAAGTCACATATAGTATCATTATGTCAGCTTATCTCATCTCCCCTCTCCCATTTTTTCCCTAGTCTTAACCGATCCTTATTCCTGTGCACACACACTTTTTCAGTTATAAAACAAAGCTGGAAGAATAGCTGAATTGCATGTGACTCAGACTTATTGAAAACAGTATTGCTCCTGCTTGGGGATATGTGCAGAAAAGAGATTAAAATCTTCAGTGGTGTTTTTAATCAAAGCTCTAGAATAGTCCTGCAGTACACAAATAAATTTGGGCTTGATTAAATAAAGAATTATTGGAAAAGGAAAATATTTTTAATTATCATGTTAGTAGTTATCTAGTCATACTATTATGCTAGGCACTATTTTAAGCAATTTAACTATGTGCCTTTTTGCCCTGTGGGAACTAGTCTAAGATAAACACTGATGATGACAAAGTATTAGATGAGTATTTATTAACAAATGACTATGTGTAGATGCTGGATCAATGGCGAGATGGTTGCTCTATCCCATTCTTGTGCTGTAATATATTTGTACCCATCTCTCATCTTTTTCTCCCTCCCTAAAAAGGGAGCAGCTCCACCAATGCAAGTTCTTCAGGAGAAACTGTGGCTTAAAAAACAGATGTCGGATTCCGTAAAACTTTTATTTTTTTGTTTCCAAATCCTTGAACAAAGTATTTACTATACTAGCAATACATGATCATTGCTCTACCGGAAATAAATATAAGTACAAAAATTCATCTATAACTCACCAACTCAAATTCATACAAGGTGAAAGTTGTTCTTGTCTTTCCGTATACTATGAAGGTTAACCAGGATAGTTAACAATATCAAGCACATTCTACCCATTAGGCCCTGCAAATGAATTATCACTTATAATTATTTTTAATTAATTAATTAATTTCCATTTATTTGAGACAGAATCTTACTCTGTTTCCCAGGCTAGAGTGCAACGGCATCATCATAGCTCATAGGAACTTTAAATTCCTGAGCCAAGCCATCCTCCTGCCTCAGTCTCCCAAGTAGCTGGGACTACAGATGTATGCCAACACACCTGGCTAATTTTTTTATCTTTTGTAAAGATGGAGTCTCACTCTTGGCTCAGGCTGGTCTCAAACTGTTGGCCTCAAGCGATCCTCCTGCTTCAGCCTCCTAAAATGCTAGGATTACTGGCATGAGCCACGGTGTCCAGCCTCTTGTAATTTTTAATCGCTATATAACTATTGGGGATTTGGGGGTAATTTTTAAATTAAGATAAAATCCCCATGACATAAAATTTGTCATTTTAAAGTGTATAATTCGTTGGCTTTTAACACATTCACAGTGTTGCACAATCATCATCATTATCTAATGCCAGAACATTTCTATCACCCCCAAAAGAAACCCCATTTCCCCTTGCAAGGGCTCCTGGTCACCACTTACCTTTCTGTCTTCTTTGATTTGCCTAATCTGGCATTTCACATAAA